GATGCACATACTGTATAAAGAAGTTGTCACAAAAACGTGTAGCAAATAAGTGTTATTTGTAAAACCAGATTCTCGAAACTAAAATAAGGTGAGAATATCCAGTCACACTAAGCTAACCAAGCCAAAATTAAAAAATATTACTATGTCAAATATTAATGTTACTGTGTAGAATATACTTATTTCTGACCAAAATTTTTGGTATGTATTATCTGGCTAGTGGCTCTGCTTAGCGCGCTTCTTATTTTTATGACATCATGCACAGCAACTGAGTAAATATGGCGATTCCAAGCATTTCTCTATCACTAAGAGACCAATAAGTAAATTGTGGATTTAGTGTTAGCATTGATTAAACATACAAACCTTTTGGGGTAGTTTGTCACCCTAATGGAGCAGATGTAGAAAATTTGAGATGTAGGTGTTTTGATGTGTTATTTATGTTATTTTTATCAACTGTTACCATGACCTATTGAGAAATTATATTAAAGTTGTTTGCTTTTTGTCTGAATCTATTGTCAAATAAATAACACATCTTTTACGTTTTATGGAATCTAAAGCACACCAGAATGTGCAAACAGCCCACAATGCCTTGTGAGGTTAGCCCGCACAATCAATCATAATCTCCTGACACTCAAGATAGCTCAAGAGTATGAGGAATGAGCTTCATGCAAAAGAAGAGGACTTACCCAGACAGCACACTTTATCCCAGGGACATCCCATAGTAGTCCCATATGTCCTGAGAATGTCTCGGGATATGTGCGCTATCCTCAGGATATCCCGCAAAATCCCGGGACGAGTACGAAATCCACAGGATATCCTACAATATACCGTAATGTCCCGGGATTTGTAAGTTAACCTCAGGATATCCTGTAAAGTCCCGGGATATGTACGAATGCCATAGGATATCCCAGAATGTCCCATGACATCCCGGGACATGTACAAAATCCACTGGATATCCTGTAATGTCCCGTAATGTCCCGGTAACAAACTGAAGAAAAAAATACTACCACTGATGAAATGTACAGTATATCTAAATTTAAATGTTCAACAAGGCCAATATATAATAATTTGTTTTTTTCACTAGTGCTTTCAGAAACTTGGTTTCCATCTTCAGGCTGTGTTTACACTAGTACAAAAAGAAAATATTTACTCAATAAATTAATTTTAAACAAAGTTAAAACAGATGATTTAAAGGATATTGGAAAAATAAAAAATAATATTAGAAAAATTTATCTTTTGAATTTTGGATATGTTACAGTGTTGTTCTTGATGTAATTATTTTCAGTAATTCCGAATTTATAATTGGGCCGTCTTCATTATTTAACAAATAATTTTGGTCTGTTTTTTTTTTTTTTTTTAAATAAGATTCCCACGCATTAAGATGTTGAGGTTTTATAATTTATTTTAAAAGTTTAAGGTTTCCCAGATTGAAAATATGTCTTGTTAATACTATGACTAGCAAGGGTTGACTTTACTTTACTGACATATTACTACCACTGAGTTCAGGAAAACTAGAGTTCTATCATAGTTGTGTGGAATGTGAATTTAATTCTAACTTTAAATTAATAAAACAACAAAAAACTAATTTTAATCATATAACAATCAATTATTACAGTGCTAATCTAATGGTGATTAAATAATCTATATTCAAATACCAGTATCCTCTCCAACTACCAGAAAAACAATTAAACTACTTGAGGCCTAAACAGATTAACAGAATCATATATAGCCTATACTGTAGTATCAAAAATATTTTAAGTATTGCGACCATTGCAACTGTCGGCTACTCATTAACCACTTGAAAACACCCATAATCAACAAGCGCAGATAGCTCAGGAGGTAAGGTAAGAGGCTCACAAGGCGAAGGTACCAGGTTCGAAACCCGTCTGGGCCAAAAACTTTTTTCTCGTTTTTTTCTTCAAAATTTGTGTTTATTAACTATTTAATCAATTTACTAAACTTATAATTAAGCTTTTCATACTTAATCTATATTATTTTGTGTTTTTTATGTTCAGGCCCAGACCACACTTTATCCCAGGGACATCCCATAGTAGTCCCATATGTCCTGAGAATGTCCTGAGGACTACCCTGGGATGACCTCGGATGTCCCACGGATATGCGTGTGAGCTTATCCGTAGGACATCCCCGGGCGGGGACATTAGGCATTCCTGTGGATATCCTGTGATATCCCAAGTTGACCATAGGACCACTATGGGATATCTTGCATATCCTGTCGCAATATCCGTGGGATGTCCTGAGGAGAAAGTGTGCTGTCTGGGTAGCACTTTCACTTAGTACTGGGGTAGGTAAATCTATAAGTTTCAGGGTATATTATCTAGAATAGATAGGTTTTTTGAGCCAAACAAAGGGCTTAGTCTGTAGGCTACACACACTTCCATCTTCCATGGTTTGTTGAGCTAACAAGACCAATGTTCTGCTTCAAACAAAATAATCTCTTTGACAGGTTTTTTTTATTAAAAAATGACTTCTTCCAATTAAGACAAATCCCATACTCTAATATGAGCAATGTTTGCTTGTATGTATGTATGTATGCTTGCTTGCAGGAAGATCTCGAAAACGGCTCCGTTCTTTAAATGTTGTAAATAGTTAATTTTTGGCCTAAAAATGAGTTTACTGCAGTTAGAACTGCCAACAAAAATCTAATTACGTAGAAAATGAAACTAAAAGTCACATTTTAGAGAATTTCCCTATAGGGAAGTAGCTATTACCATAGGTCTCATGGTAAGACCTAGGCCCGGGACTGATTTACTTTTTCATTTTGATGTCCCCAGAGGCCAAAAACACCATTCGTTCAAATTTTTATATATCTATATATATATATATATATATATAACTTATATATATATATATGTGTCCATCCGATAACTTGAGTAATTTTTGTCCGATTTTGATAAAATTTGGTTTGAAGGTGTAAGGCGGGATAAACTTGAATGAGTTTGCGAACCAGCATGATCGGGCTATGGGAACTGGGGCTTATTGGGGGTTTTATGGGGTAAAAATAGGTTTTTCCCATTTTTGACCCTAAAACACAAAATTTCACAATTTCTTTTTAAACATTTCGTAGAGCTTAAAAAACAAATAATTTAGTATATTAAAGCGTTATTATGCGCCTAATTGTTACAGAGAAAATTCAAAAAAATTGTAATTTTAAATTCCCATGTTATTCTTATGGAGAATAAGTCAACTGTTGTAGTTTGCTTGTTTATGAACATATTTTGATCAAATTTGGAAAATACATTAATTTCTTACTAAACCACAGTACCTTTTAACATTTTACATTAAAACAACTTTTTTACCCTCCCTGTTGCAGCAAACCTAAGTAGGTACTCATTAAACTAATTCTGTTTAAATAGGGAATAAATATGTGATATTTTTAAGGAGACATTTTAGTTTAAATCCAATCAGGCAAATGGAAATTCGCTAAGTCTGCAGGTTTGCTGGGGGTATTTCATTAGTCTGGGTTGGTAAGAAACCATGTTGGTTGAGTTAATATCAAGGAAAAAGTAAACAAAAGACTTGTAAGTTGTAACATGAGTTCATAAAGGCTTTACCCACAGTATACTAGCAAATTAGAAATACAGTACAAAAGGAAAAACATCTCTTGTTACTATTGAGCAAAGATTATACTGAAGCTTACTCGATACATTGTAGCGTAGACAATATTCTATTTGTCTATGATTGTAGAAAAGGCTAGCAGTGTGGAGTGTGGTATCTGTTATGACGATTAGATTAAGGTAGATTTCCCATCCTTATGGAACAGCTGAAGCCAAAATTTTGTTGTTAGTTCTGTCCGGTTTTCTGTAGATGTCGTGCTTTGTTTACAATTTGTTTCTTGTTATTTAAGTAATTTTAAACCTCATTTAACCAAATAATACTATCTATTCATAAACAATAACTCGTCCACTAGCTATATAACCAAACAGTGAGACACATATAATGAGAAACTAACCCTAAAATAATAAGGTACAATCCTAAAATGCTATGGGAAGGTAAGGAAACAGGTCCGCGACGTAGGAAGTGGTGAAGGAAGTAGTCAAGGCGAGCTATTCCGGACTGCGGGAACTGTTTATGACGATAGATTAAAGTATCTGCAATCCTAAAATGCTGTGGGAAGGGAGGGAAACAAGTACACGCCGTAGGAAGTGGTGAAAGAAGAAAGAAGTAGTAAAAGCAAACAGTCTGGAGTGTGGGAACTGTTTGACGATTAGATTAAGGTATCTGCAATCCTGAAATGCTATGGGAAGGGAGGGAAACAGGTCCGTGACGTAGGAAGTGGTGAAGAAAGTAGTAAAGACGAGCAGTCCGGAGTGTGGGAACTGTTTATGACGATTACATTAAGGTATCTACAATCCTAAAATGCTATGGGAAGGGAGGGAAACAGGTCCGTGACGTAGGAAGTGGTGAAGAAAGTAGTAAAGGCAAGCAGTCCGGAGTGTGGGAAATGGAAACCGTTTGTAACAGTTAGATATTTATGTATCTGAAATTGAAATACTGTACTGAAATGCTATGAGAAGGGATGGAAACATGTCCACGACATATGAAATGGTGAAAGAAGTAGTAAAAGCTATCAGTGCGGAGTGTGGGAAATGTTTGTGGCAGTTAGATTAATGTATTTAAAATACTAAAATGCTATGGAAATATACGAAAAAGGTCCACGACGTAGGAAGTAGTAATGTTTAGCATCGCAGAATGTGGGAACCGTTTGTGGCAGTTAGATTAATGTATCTGTAATACTTAAATGCTATGAGAAGGGATGAAAACAGGTCCATTACGTAGGAAATGGTGAGGGAAGTAGTATTTTCCCCAAGCAAATCTCGGTCCCCAGGTACTTATATTAAACACATTATTCAGTTTTTAAAGACAGCATGCAGCCTATTATAGAATTCCAAATGGTTTGTACTGTGCAAACATGTGTAAAAATTGTTCATAAATAATGTTACTTAATTATATTTCTTTCAATCAGATGTTTGATAATTATTAGTTTTTAACAAAATTGTAAACAATTCAAGTCTTCAAGAATCATGTAAAATTTTTCTGTTTCATTTTGCTTTTATTCAAGAAAACTCAATATTTTTATGTAATATTTATATGGTGAGTATATTATATAGGCAGTAAATATAAGTAAAACTGTATTAATATAACAATATGCCAAAACCATGTTATGGAATATCTTAACAAAGCTACACATCACCTCACACCATTCTACACTCATCCTTCACTCATATTTCGGTTAAAATATGCACATATAGGTGGAGTCCCCATCTCAATGATTGATAAATTGAACAATTCATACAAGACTCCAATGTTTTTTCTTATTTTCAAAATTACATACCAGTAAACACAATTTCAGGTCGGCTCTTTGCTGTTTTCTTATCAGTAATGTTATTCTTATTTGGTGTCCTCAAATAAGTACAATACCAAAAATTTAGGAATAGGTTTTATGGGTTAAATAAAACCAAAATCAAGAATATGTTTGTTCAGAAACATCTTGTTAGCGAGTTGTTTATGTCTTATTTGGAATATATTTAAGGGATTTGGGGCTACTAGGTTACTAGGTCCTAAAGATGAAAAGTAACTTTTTGCCTGTAGTAATTTCTTCCAAAAACTCCTTTTTTTTGTCCTAAGGACGCTAGGCACGAGCCTGGGATTGTTTTTCACATTACTTCAGGCTAGACCTAGGGGTTGCGGCATTATCACTTAGATAAAATTGGTAACTTAGCGGGGATCGAACCTGGGACCTCAGGGACTGAAGTCCCGCGCTCTAACCACTACGCCAGCTCGCTCCCCCCAAAAATACATTAGCGTCTTAATAGAAAACAGAAAAAGAACTTGCTAATTTGCCATGCTCTAGTATGCCACTGTTCATGAAATTAACATGACCTACTGACCTACAGAAAAAAACAAGGTAAATACTTATCATTCAATCTTTTTCAGGAATTAGTCAAGTAAAAAACTACATTCTAAGGCCAAACCTAAAAATAAGAAAGTGACAAGTTAAATTATAAACAAGCAAGATGGATCCCCAGAGCAGCCAGAAGTTAACATCATATATCGATCAATTACTCGCTCTGCTCGACGCCCTGAATGAAACTGTTTTGAACTCGAGCCTCCAAGTTGATGAGCCTGGAGTTGAAAAAACCACTGCTCCTACCCAGACTAAGCATTTGGCATTTGGATTAAAAGTACCGTTCTTTGACATAGAATTTGGAATCAACAAACCTAAACCAGATCCAGAACCAACTTATCCACAGCCAGCTCCACAACAACCAGTAGTATATGCTCAAGGAAATTGGGTATTTAACCCTGTGACAAACCAGCAAGAATGGGTTCCTGCAGGTCAACAAGCTCCTCAACAACAATATGCTCAAGGAAATTGGGTATTTAACCCTAGGACAAACCAGCAAGAATGGGTTCCTGCAGGTCAACAAGCTCCTCAACAACAATATGCTCAAGGAAGTTGGGTACTTAACCCTAGGACAAACCAGCAAGAATGGGTTCCTGCTGGTCAATCCCCGAGACTTACAAGAGCAGCACCGGTAAACCCTCAGCCTGAAAGCCCTGAAAGCCCTGAAAGCCCTGAAAGCCCTGAAAGCCCTGAAAGCCCTGTAATCCCTGTAAGCCCTGTAAGCCCTGTAAGCCCTGAAAGCGACGCAGAAGATTCCCAACCTACCATTGAAATGGGTACCAATGAGATTTATAAAACCCTTGAAGACATTAACAATTGTATCAGAGACATGTCAAAATTTCTTTTGTAGACAACCGGCTTTGTAAAAGTTACTTCCATTTTTATAGAATGAATAAAATCTTACAGAAATACATTTTCTAATATTTTTTACCAGTACGGGGCTTGTCTGTAAAATTAAGGTCTCCAATAAGATCCAGTCGTAACCAAGCAAGGCTAGCTTTAATCTGACCGTAGCACAGTGTTCCTTACTTCCTCCACTAGTATTCTAGTCATTAAAGTTGCCAACTGCAATGTCAGGGAAAATCTATGCTCTTGCTTGGTATAATAACACACCTAAAAACCACAAAATATAGTTGCAGAGCATTATTTATACTGTACGTGAACATTGATTTTCTTTAACATTGTTGGGATACTACAATGAGACTGTTGCAAGAGTGGGAATTGCCTGTATAGAGGTAAAAGTACACTGTGCTTTAATCCATGGACAACCCTCATATTATTTACGTTGTAGTCGTACTTACGCACTAAACTATAAATACTCATAATTAGTTTTAAAAGCAGTCATTACATTAAGGAAGGAATACAACAAAAACTAGAGAGCAATAGGTAAACAAAAAAATAATAGATTAGAGGGTTTACATTTTTGCTACTATACTTACATATAAAAAAACAAACAAAAAACTCTTTGATGGACGTGCTAGTCTTCATAATTGATGGTTGGAAACTGAACCCATACCTTGTAAAACGCCTTTCCCAAAAAAATCAACACAATCTTTTACAAATCCTCACCAAATTTATAAAAAAACTTACCAAATAGCCCAGTCATTAAAGGGACAAAATAGTGCTTTGTCGGAAGTAATTATTAGTGAAAAGCTGATTTTTTCATGGATGTTAGTAGATCATATAAGGAACATTTTCTAAAAAGTCCCCGCCACTCCCCCTCTTGCTTCCCCCCCCCCTACACCCTTTTAAGTGTATTTGTGTAAGCTTTTATCATTTTATGAATATCTCAGAAACAAATAGGAATAGAATAAATTTTGTTTCGCCATTTAAATCCTTAAAATATTCTCTACAAAAAACGTAATTAAAGTGTAATCGATATATTGAGTAGTTTTCTTGTAATTTAAGTTTAAATGTAAATTTTATCACTTTTAAATTTTACCCTTCGTCTGTTAAGTTGATTTGTATTGAAATGAGACGAGATAGAAAAACATGATTTATATAAAAAGTTGGTGTATTTTTCAATCTTTAAAATGATATGGGTTTTATGTATTTTAGTTGAAGCCAGTTGACAGAATCAGTCTGAAAACGGGAGGCGGCGTCGGGTGCAAGAGCGCTCGCGGCGCGGATCCGCGAGTATAGTTAGTCTAGTCAACCTATGTTTTTAGGGGGGGGGGGGGGATTAGTAAAAAGCTGATTTTTTGCCCATCTACTACTACCATTTAGACAAGAGTTCAGCCAAAAGTCCCCGCCCCTACCCCCCTTGCTTCCCCCCCTGTGCCCCCCTAAACATATAAAGTGTAAGGGTTACTAAAATCACGTTTTTCTCGATTTGGCATATTGAATTGCAATTACTTTTATTGTCTTTGTTATAAAATTTCATACAATCCTGTTTAGTTAACTTTCATCGTAGCTGTTACCGTTTGATCGTTATTTGTATAAATATGTACAGATTTATATATTTTTAAACATAAAATTTTTTTTGTCGCCTTACTTTAATGAAAATTATGCGAGATTCAGCCTGTGTAATGCAGTATGTGTACTCAATCAGTGGGTTTGGTCTAGTTTTGGGGCTGGCGCGGAATACTATCATTGTTGTAATGTGGAGAATGTTTCTTTTTACTTAAGATACACTATTGTATTATATATATACAGGGTGTTTTTTTAAAAACTTGCATCTTTATTTATGTAAAAACCGCAATAGATAGAAATATGCAGTTTGCGGGAATCATCTATTGACGTAGGGGGACCAATTGTTTTGAATTCAACGTTACATTCACATTCCCCCCCTTTCCCCCCCTGCCCCCAACTTAATTTTTTTAAATAGCAAGGTACCCCTTGTGACATATCAAATAAAAGAGCATGAAAAAAGAAAATGTTTGATGAAAAAAAATTGAAAATCGGTTCATAAATTTGTGAGATATTCCCCCCCTCGACCCCCCGGAACTTAATTTTTTTTAATAGCAAAGTACCCCTTGTGACATATCAAATGAAAGAGCATGAAAAAAGAAAAATTTTGGCGAAATTTATTTTTCATTTGATATGTCACAAGGGCGGGTACCTTGCTATTAAAAAACAAGTTATGGGTAGGGGAAAAGGGGGGTGATTATCTCACAAATTCATGAGCCGATTTTAAATTTTTTTTTCACCAAAAATTTTCTTTTTTCATGCTCTTTCATATGATATGTCACAAGGGGTACTTTGCTATTAAAAAAAATTAAGTTCTGGGGGGGGGTGAGGGGGGGAATATCTCACAAATTTATGAACCGATTTTCAATTTTTTTTCATCAAACATTTTCTTTTTTTATGCTCTTTTATTTGATATGTCACAAGGGGTACCTTGCTATTTAAAAAAATTAAGTTGGGGGCAGGGGGGGAAAGGGGGGGAATGTGAATGTAACGTTGAATTCAAAACAATTGGTCCCCCTACGTCAATAGATGATTCCCGCAAACTGCATATTTCTATCTATTGCGGTTTTTACATAAATAAAGATGCAAGTTTTTAAAAAAACACCCTGTATATAAAACAAAACCCATGTACAGTTAACATGGGTTTTGTTTCGGTTGTTTTTTTAGCGAATTCCTCATATAGGGAATAAGCTATTACCGTAGGTGGTAAGACCTAGACCAGGGCCCGATTAACTTTTTCGTTTTGAGGCCCTCAGAGGCCAAAAACACCCTCCCCCGTTCAAATTCAAAAATAAAATGGAAAATTTAAGATTTTATATATATATGTGTGTGAGTGTGATATGTATATGAGCCCGTTAGCGTGATAGCTTAAACAAAAATAATCCGAAGTTGATGAAATTTGGTACAAACGTATCAATTTACGTTTATTCGTACGAGTTTGCGAACCAGCATGATTGGACTATGGGAATAGGGGTTTATGGGAGTTTGTATGGGGCTAAAGTTGGTTATTCCCATTTCCCCCTTAAAACCTCAAAATATTACAATTTATTTCCATGGTAATAGCTTATTCCCTTTATGGGAAATTCCCTAAAAATCAAAGTTAGGAAAGGAAGGGAGATATTGGCCCTTAGCATGAAAAGGAAAATAATTCTATATCAATCATAGACAACAAAAATATATATTTTCTTTTAACATTCATTATGCATTTTCATTATTTTTACAACAATTTACGATATATATTAAGATACAATATTAAGAGCAAACATTGGTATACATTAACTTTTTTGTTTTACATATTGTAAACAATGAAAAGATACACTCACAATTTTTGTGGTACCAGTCCCAACCCCTTGCCTCTGTGTGGTGAGAGCATGTGTGTGAGAAGAGGCAACCTTTTAAGGGGCACTTCCTTAGCAAACAGGGCAAAGTACCGAACCAAATTTAATAACAATATTTTTGTAATACAATAATAATTGTGTTATGGTTGTTGGGACTTGAGGAAGATCATTCTGAGATCATACCTTATAAAAACTTTGTACTTTCAACATTTTCACTGTACATTTATCCTGACCATAAGATATGGTTGGTCCATGTGTTATTGTACTTGAAGTGGCCATTTTATAAGACCAGGTTTTTTTTGTTTTAACAATTAGATGGTTTTTATATTGTCTCTTTCCATATACTCGTAATTCGACATTCGTAGTTTCAGTTTTGTAAGTTTGAGAATCTACTCAAACCAAAAAGGTTGTACTCAATACATCACATTAATTAGGAAACCCCAAGGTCTTATAATGAACAAGGAAATAGGCAGAAATAGACAGGAAAGTTTAATCTATCTTTCTTGAAGATTGAAAGAAAGGAAAAAGTTGCCAATGAGAAGAGTACGTGTATTGTATTTTAAATTATGAACTTTTTGATAATTGGGAGTGAGCATAAAGTCCAAAAAAGGCAATTTGAAATCAAAGACAATATGTCACATGACATTTGTTAGAAAAGAGTTAAACAAATAACACTTCAACCACATTGACAGAAAAATATAGAAACACAATGTTAACAATGCTATATTCTTTTTTTCACACCTATATATCTATGTTATGATTTTCAACAACAAATGCATGCAATCACAGAAACATCTTTGACGACACTAAACTACTTTCAGTCTTCTACACGATCAGTCTTAGACTGGGACACTTGACACAGAGACTAGATTGGATGTATGTTGGGCGTTTGGCTGTAGTCAGGACACCTGAGAGAGCTGGATGGAGTTGGTCCTCTGAGAAGTGATGCTGGACGTCATCTTGGATGATGCCTGGGACTTGCGAGGATGTTTCGGGAACTTCGGTGTCTTCCCAATGTGCAGCTTGGCTTTGACCAGCCCCAGAACCTGAGTTGAAGAGAATAATTAGGCGAATAACAGGGAATAACAGGGATTTTTAATGTTACTCTCACAATAATATATATATTCCAATTTGTCATGGTGAGGCATTGTATCTCGCTTTGGTGATAGAATCACTAGTTATTGAATAATGTTTAAAGGTAAAGAAAGTATATCACAAAATTTCTACTTTTGTGTTGTATATTTTATGTGTATGGACTTATTTAAAGGTAAGCCTGTTTTCCTGTCAATTTCCTTAATAATTCCTGGCAAATGCCCCATCTTTTTATCAGATAAAGGTAAAAAATCATTTTTAGCTGTTTAGTAGGTATTTATGGTAATGAATGGTTATATTTCACCTGAGAACATTAGAATTCAGTGACTTATCACAAAAAATGCATGTTGACGCATTGATATTTTGACATAAGTTAATGTACTTCTTTCCTAGTCAGAAGAATGAACATAACCAATCATGCTAGAAAAATTTGTCTGTACTCTTGACTATTGATTTTCTCAGATACATTAGCTGAACTCCAAAAAATCCTTGCTTATAGAATGAGTTATAGCAGAATTAAAAGAGGAGTGTCTGAATATGATTTGTAAATATGTCGCTGCTATCGATGAAATCTGCCATGCTACTTATGGTCATTTCGTAATGGTACAGTAACAAAGGCTGACTTAACAGCTGAAACTATAGATCTTTAATGCCTCATCAACTAATTACAGCAAAAACTAAGGTAGATAATAGAATTTCAGACTGTATTACTTTTTAACTACACACATTTTGTTATTTAATTAAAAACATGCAAAACAGCTGACCCATATAAATGGGATGTCTGCTTTCATGTAATTGTAAAAACACAAGGTTACTCTACCTTTTCCTTGCAGCAGAACAAAATGAAGATGAAAACCCCGCGGAGAGCGTTGATGGCGTCTGTGACATACCAGTAGCTCTCGGAGCCCCCGGCCACCCATGATATCAGCTCAAACACCCAGGTCACACCCATCAACCCGAACAGTTTCAGGTACAGGCTGAACCTATGACAAATATCAACTGATAAGATACAATTTCAATTTCAAAAACTAATTTAGAAAAATAGGTAAAATTTATAATATTTTGAGATTAAATTTAATGTCCAGCCGGCTATTTAAAAGAAATCAAGTGGAGCATAACGTTACCTTGTGATTTTGATGGTCAAGGGTAAAAAAGACTCATATACTTTTCCAGTTGTACGATAAGGGTTTACTAATAAATATTTAAAGAATTTTGTAGCTTGTGACTTGCTTTAAAAAAACAATATAGTTAAAGTTAAATTTCAATTTGTTTAGTTTTTTTTTAGGATTTAAACTCGCCTACATAATTATCCACCTTACTACCCTTTTATTAATTTTGTCAAACCTTTGGCATCTTTATTGGTACTTGGGCTATATGATTTATTAATATTCACTCTTTAGAGGCTTCAGCAATTTATGAGTTTTCTTAAAAAGAATGAAAGATTAAAGATCCCATAACCAAAAGCAAGCAGTTAATTATAAAACAATGGGACAGGCGTTTTTACAGTTGGTTAAAACAATTATTTTTTAGGTAAAATTATAAGCACACGCTTAATTTGTAATAAACTCATACTAAAGCTTCAATGACAGTTAGTATACATGGACATTTATGCACATTACAATGAAACCACAAACAAAGAACTAAATACAGTAGTAAGAGGATAGAATATGTTCTTCATCCTTGAGTGCAATGATTTGTACGTGCTTTTATATATGACTGGTTTTACCTTATAGTTTTATTTGCTGTTGTCCCATTGTAGATAGATTCAACATCCAAAAGCCTGCCAAAATAATTTTGACATTGATTGAAAATATTTAAGCTTTTGACTTTTGTCAATAACATTGTTTTGGTATTTTGTTTAGCTATGTTTTATTGGCTTTACATGATAGTGAATAATTATATATACAAAACATTTAACATATAATATAGACCGTGTTTTAACTACTTGGATTTAAACTTACACTATGATTTTAGAAGTACCTAACAGTGGTGGATCTAGAACAGTCACAAGGTGGGGGGAACCGGGGGGTCTGTGGGGTTTGGGGGTACCCCTCGAAAAATTAATGTAAACTAAGTCTCCAAAATGGCAGTTTTTTTACCATTTCTTTGTCCAAAGTAAGTGTGGCGGTCGCCCCCTTCGCCCCCCCTCTGGATCCGCCACTGGTACCTAATATGTTAATTATTGCAGCCAAACTTAAATAATCAGCAGTCTTTTTCCGGTAGCTTTTATTTGATTTAATGAGACTTAAGGACCAAGGACCTACTGCACTCTCAAATGCATATAAAAGTTGGTAAGTGGTGATCGATTTGGATTGGACACTCCAATCATCATCAGATCCAATAGACGAATGTTTTTGTTTTTTCAGGTCACACGTATGATGCTGATCAAGAAGTTATTTAGGATAATCTCATAAACAATTCTATCTTCAAGATTTGATACATAAATAAATTATTATTACTCAACTAAATACTTAAAGTATACAATTAACTCACCTGTTAGTATCTTGACGCAGCTTAGAGCCGGCATGCTGCACTATGTTGGCAGTGTCTCGGTGCGTCTGGCGTATCTTGCCAGCCGTGTAGATAAAGAGTGCCAGGTTAGCTATCAGCAGTAGACCCATCGGACCATATACAAGCAACAGGACCGACTCCCAGTCTAACAAACATTCAATAAAGTAAGAGCCAACTCAACAAAACCATGACAGAATTCACAATCAATAAAGGTTTGAGTAAAATAGAGCGAGATGCCTTCAGCTAAAATTTAAGGAAGATAAAATTAAAAACTGTTACGTAGAACAGTTACAACAATGTTAACATACAATTATAAATTAGCACATGTACTAATAATTATGCCTGAAAATTATTAGATCATAATATTTATGTACTGCATGAAATGACCCCTCCCACTGCTGAAGTTCAAAGTGCTAACAGCTAACAGCCTCTAAAACATTAAGTTGTAAAAATAATGATTTATACAAAACTTACGTTCAAACCAGCAGCGAGTGGTTCCAAAAGATGGTTTGAACTTTGACATGGAGGGAACTGCAGGGCTGAACTCCAGAAATGCGGTGATTCCAGAGAATGCGGCAGAACCTCCCCAAGCAAACAGAGAGTAGTAGATGAACTTGTGTCCATCACTGTCCAGGGACTGGGAACCTTTTGGGGCTCTCAGGCCACTGTGGACACATAGTGTTAAAGTTTATGGGTGATCTGGCTTATTGTTTTGAGGAGGTACCAGACCAGTGAGGTTCATTGATTTATTAACAATACCTACTTTTATAATGTTTCCCTCACATTTTATAAACACAAAGCTTTAAACAGTATTGCACTTCTAAACTTCATTTTTGGATTGAAGAACACGACACTACATATTCCATTCCCATGTTAAGTTTGTAGCTTAGATTTTTTAATTAAAAGATATTTTTTTAATTAAAACTGTCATAGTTGATAGGAGCCACCGACAGATTGTGCTGATCTAAATTCTGTCAAATACACAAAATCTTTACTAAGTTAAACCTAGGGAATGACTTATGGTGAGCTATAGCAACTGTTAAGACCCATCAACCTGATCAGCAACAAAAAATAAGGTAGAAAATAGAATTTTAGACACTAGCGCTTTCTGTGACTGGCTAATACAACTACGTTCTTTTTTAATAAAAAATTAGCTACAGCTGATCGTAGATAGGATGTCTACTCCAGTATCCAATAGTCAATCAGGATAGGTACAATTTTCAACCCTTTTTGTTAATTTATGACCTCATAGCTATTGAAGTAAGAAATAAATCATTTATTTATCATTTAAATGGCCTTTACTAAAACATTTCATAACAACAAAAATGCTATCAAGTCTGAAAACCAATACAATAACAATTTAGATCAAAATATGGTAATATTCCTGTAACATCTCCCCCTCCCCATTTTAAAATCATTTGTTCAACTTCTGTAGGGTTAATGATCTCCTGGATTTTCTTGGTGAAACTACTTGAGTGTAAGGAGTCTGGCGATGCTTTAGATGGGGAGTAGATTAAGGAGTTTGAAGATGCATTGGTTGTGGAGTTATGTCAGGTTTCCTCTGCATTTTTAAAAGGATGCTGTCATATATTTTTATTAGGATCGTTATACTTCAGGAGCTGTATTGTAATTCCTCATTGAACACTGCCATTATGTTTAAAGAGATAAGATCGTGGCTGAGGTAATTTCTCCATCACTTTTGCTCTTTCCCTTTGCTTGTTAATACATTTAGCACTAATATATTTTTATCAACATTAAAGTTTTCATTGTTATGTGAAACATCATGATACATTTTTGTAGTACTGGTAGTTGTTTTTCATGCATTTTATTTAAAAAAAATTTGAGGGAAGGTTCTTGGTTTGATTATCAATAAGAGTTCAAATAATGTGACTGATAAGAAGTTGGGAAGCAGAGTAACCCTAACCCAAGCCTGCTACGCGAGCATTTCGATAGTTTAACAAATACAACTCCAAATCCTTGATCATAAATTACGTTGTTATAGTCAATTATTGAATTTACTGTAACATTATTTATGTAACATGTATAAATAGCTGTAAAAGTAAAAGTCGGATAAATTAACTCTTGATGGCCTCTACATATTTCTTTGGGGCTTAATTCGTAAAAATCTGTAACCCATATTTGTTTATTAGGCCTACATGTTTATTTTGTTAAAATCAATAGGTGTATGGATATTTTCTAAAATATATTATCTCTATGTACAACAAATAAGTTAAATGGTATAGTTTTGCTTATAACAGGCATAACTTTTCAATCAAGGTTATACATCAATCTATGTCATATTCTTGTAATGTAAAGAGCTAAATCACTAGGAATTCACTCTTCTCATCTAGCATGGGTTTCCCAGCATTTATAGTTTTCAAGGACAACCAAAATTAACTGCTATCCTCCTACTAGCCATGTGCTCTTGCATTGATAATGATAATACTGATAATGATGTAATGGCTGAATAGATCCCCATGACCCCCTTTGCATATATTTGCATAAACATTTTTTTTCACAACTATCTCCTGTGAATAAGCCTCATTTATTTATTTTCAAACTTCTGAAATGTTTTCATTATACATAACTATTTCCACATACGGAAACACTATTTTTATTGATTTTTAAGAATATCTTTGAACTTCTTGGAAACTAAACTATACTCCGTTCACAAAATTTAGGGTTTTGAGGGGAAGTTCCCCCACAACTTTTTTACTTTAACTTTTGAGCTATTATTTTTTAAGGTAGGTTCAAGTGGGGGGATGGATTTCTTTACCTAAAACAGCTTAAGTTTTGTGAACGGAGTAGGGGCCAATACTCATAGACTCAGCACTTGCGGGGGACAGAAAATCAACCTACAAGTATTTTCCCTTTGTACCTTTCATATAAAAAATATTTAAAAAATCAAAAATGTTCTATTTTAGGCAAGTAATGAAGAACTATGGTATTTAGTTGGTACATTTATAAGAAACATGCTAATTATCTGTGAAACTTACCTGAAGGTCCATGCAATGTCCACACACATAACATTGAGCCAGAACATAGCAGCCAGGATCGCAAACTGTATAGTAAAGGCTGAAACACACAATCAGATTTAAAAACTTCCCACAGTATTAAGCATTGCAAATTAAAGGAATCTTTGAACCGCTGTCATTTTTGATTGCACTGTCCGTGGGTTTGTGGCGTTGTGTTTTACTAACAAAGACTTTTATTTCGATACCAAACTCGAACTATATGCCACTATTTGAGAATTTTTTCTCACTCCTCTTGGACCATCCCAATTTAGAGGTAAAAAATTAATAATACCTTGAAAGAGTAGACATTTATGGTTATTATTAATATACCAAGTTTTATAATTTTAGCTATAATGGAAATAGTATATTTCGTACTTAGGGCCGAAAATGAGGTTTTGCCGGCTCGAGATGGTTTTTAAGTTCGAGACGAAGTCGAGAACTTAAATCGATCGAGAGCTGCAAAACCATTTCGGTCCGTGGTACGAACGCTATTTTTCACCACACCATACCCTATTACCACTATTCACCACTATAATAGACTAATGCACACTGATAGTCAACACAACTGCAACTTTAAGGTTATGTGAAGAAATAATTTGAGGAATCAGCAAAAATGAAAATAAATAGTTGCTAGGCAACGGTGACAATAACACAATTCTATGGCAATGCTATGGATACTGATTGTGTATTTAAAATGCATTCATGTTTTAAGTGGACAGCTGATTTTGCGTCCCCGGGCTGTAAAAACCTGCTCGGTCCCCAAATTACGATGACAGCTGGCATGGCCAGCAAAACGCAACTTTCAGCCACGAATTAACGTATGCAATACAGCCAAAAACATCATAGTATGGTGAAAATAGTATATTTCGTACCTAGGGCCGAAAATAAGGCTTTGCCGGCTCGAGATAGTTTTTAAGTTCGAGACGAAGTCGAGACTATACCCTATTACCATTACCACTATTCACCCCTATGATAATGCACACTGATAGTCAACACAATACAACTTAAGGTTATGTGAAGAAATCATTTGAGGAATCAGCAAAAATAAAAATAAATAGTTGCTAGGCAACGGTGACAAAAACACAATTCTATTGCAATTCTATGGATTTTGATTGTGTATTTAAAATGCATGTTTTAAGTAAGCGGACAGCTGATTTTGCGGCCCCGGCCTGTAAAAACCTGCTCGGTCCCCAAATTACGATGACAGCTGGCATGGCCAGCAAAACGCAACTTTCAGCCACCAATTAATGCAATACAGCCAAAAACATCATAGTGTGGTGAAAAAATATATTACACCGTTCCGGGACTTTTCAATCACACTGTATATAATAAGCAACAATGTATATAAATGGATTATGTAGGTATAATTTTTATCAATTCTAGAGGAATGTTAGGTTGTTGTAAGGAATAGCATTGATTAATTTCCACTAACGATAAACACACACAAATGAGCATACATGAATAATTCAAGTATACTAATGTAATATTTTAAAATAGCATCCCTTCGCTAAACATAGTCTTGTCAAAACGGTTTTGAACCCTATCTGAAAAACCAGCTATTTACCCACGTATTTCCCTTCATTGCTATTCATCGGACTGCTATAAACTATAAACCATTGACTCCGCCCCAGCCATTTGTTGTTCACGACATGTGGTTGTGTTTATAAATAGTACGGGAGGGCCGTGTCGCAGGACAGCCGATAGCTGGACTTGCCAGTGGTCGGCAAAAACAAGGAATCCTTCACGTAACCACCGACCTTGAAGTGGGAGGAGAGAAGGCTGGGAAGTTATTATGATTACTGGGCGAACATCCTAATTGGAGTTTTTTCTCGCCGACACGTATGTGGAATCTTTGTTGTGTTCAGTCTCTTTGGCATCCCATCAGTGTGACCATGGCCAGACATCACATCAAGTTAGAATGATTGTGGTCAACTTATTGCCATCGAATATTCAAATGAAATAACTGAGATGTGAGAAAAAGTACAACTTAAGCATTCTTGTAACCAATACTGATTCAATGGAATATTTTAAGTTTTTTTCGTATTCGTACTTTTGAGTAGTTAAGGGATTATTCGTGTCAATCGAATCCGACATTAAATTGTAGAGAAGTAATTACGGGTTTGATAATGAGCAATTTGATCGGTAAAGTAATACATTGATTACTCCAGAAATTGAAGAGTAACACTGACTTAAAACTTTCCAAACGTTTCATAGGTCAAAAGGCAGTAGCCTATTTTTCCCATAAAAGTGCTTTTTCCATCCGTTATTCATATTAATTTGATCGTCAATTTATCTTGAAATCTTTGTATACAATATTTTCCCGATACAAAATAACATTTTTAGTTTGTCAGCGTTTTTATTGTAGAGTGTATCGAGCATAATCATATAAAACTGAGTTGCAAAATGTACAACTTTGAAGCCAAATCACTACATTCACAAGGATACGGTGAAATGTTAAACTTCAATGGAAAAATCGTCGCTATTTTGGACCAAATAAACACTTAACATCGTAATCAATGTATCCATGGTAGGTTTCGGTTATCCCAGGCAGATTTACATAAGTAAACTCTGTTGAAATAAGTTTGTACGGGAGATGTCAAGGCTAATGGAATAGACAAATGTAAATTTTATACGAATTGCTTGATAAAATGAACATGTGAGTTAAGACTACGACAATATAGGTTATTGCCACTGTAAATACTTTACTTTATCGCCAGAAATTTGCTATAACAAATCAGTCTCAGAGTTTCATTATTCAATTATTGTTCTTACCTTGACTTTTTCAACAGTGCAAGAGTGTAAAGAAGAATAATTAAATTAATATTGTGTAAACGCAAATGAAAATAACAGCAAAGGAGCTTATTTGTCAGAAAATAGGATTGATAGACAAATAACGATAATAAATTATCATCCATGAATTTATAAGCAATAAAATCCATGACATAACACCTCATGACAATTTACCTGACTTAGGCCTATTTGGGTTTTTATAATATTTAACATTTCAATTCATTATAATATCATTGCATATAATTGCATAGTTCTAATGTACTCAAGGGCAAAGTTGAAATGTTTTATCGGTCATAGCTAAATACTAAGCCCGAACTGATTACAAAAACCAAAACCGGTCTTTTGAGTAGAGAACTGGTTCGGCTTCGAAAGTAAGACACGGAAAACACAATCTCTTGGCGACGTGAGGCTAAAGCCGTGACGAGAATACTAATGTGTTTAACTATTTATAAATGCTTCTCCGTTTTTACCGCGAATTAAGGGATTAAGTTCTATTTACAGCATTAAACCCGATACAAATTTACATAAACGATTTCCAGGCATTAATTTTATTGGAATTCCTTGACGCAAGCTAAGGTTTACCATAGGAAAACAAGATACGTGTTAAATACGTTAGTGGGAAAACCACTTCATTATTTTAATCATGTTTTAACGCGAGATTTTTTTCTGTGCGCAAAACCTCGACAAAAATAAGCTTAAATTAGACTTTTTTTACTCCAAAAAGGTTGATTGGTTCCTTTATAGAAGTATGAATTAAGCCTACTTAAACTATATCTACTAGTCCATAACCACTGAAGAATTTACACCAAATAGCTTCGTCGTTAACCAAACTACTGATTGTGCTTGCAATTTTTGTTTAAATGTAAATAACGCAATTAAGACCTTTATATCCGAACCGAGTGCTTGAACATGTCAAGTTTCAGATTGAATTTTCTCTATGAAGCGTAAACAACTTATTTACAAAGCTCTCCAAATTGAAGGATCTGTTTCTTGTTATCACGCTACATTTGGCAGTGGTCGTGACGTTGGAAAACAGCTGTTCTTTGTACAGCTGATCAATAGAACACTTGACCGATCAGCGGACACATCATAAACACATTTATTACAGACATCTTGGAACAGTTGAACAATAACTACATCTGTTCAGTAAAACCCCTGAGAAGAAGATTTATACTAATGTAAAGCAAGTTTCAAGTGGTTTAAAATTAAAACTATATCCATGCTACCACACTAACTTTGGCATTCGAAGATGGATTCAATTGGAATAAATAAAATAATGTGGTATTCGTTTTAAAACGTAAATGAGTGTATCAGTTCATATATTTCGTTCTGTCATAAAAATTCTCCGGACTAGATTTGTCAACAGTAAAACATTAAAGTAAGGAAAAGTTAGGTAAAAAGTTTTACCTACGTAAAACGTACATTATGTTCGTGTACTTTTAATTAAATAGTTCTACGTTTATGAATAAAAAACTGGTCTAAACTGGGTTTGTATTGATTGGTTGAGTTTTAGTGTTTACCAACCCCTTAGCTTTTAATGGAATGGAAAAATTCAGAAATAACATCAACACATTAAGTGCTGTTTAGTGTACAAGATGTTGTTAGTCAGAAAAATAGCTTAATTTTCCTTAATACAGAAACAATAATGTAGACCGTTAGCAAAACATTGTTATCACCTATTTTACTCTGTTTTGGCAATAGATTAAAAACTATTCTGAACCTAATGGAACTTCTTTCTGTGGTCATTATAACATCGTTAGTGCTAAGTATTTGGAATTTACCCGTTTGTAAAATATACAAATATAATAAGTACTCTTTTACGTGTTCTGTTGAAGGCTTAAGTTCGTTCCGTGAAACTCGTTGAAGTTAGAATGATGGCGATTAATTTTATAATATTACGCAAATATGAGATGTGAAAGTCTATCTTTCCATCATGCAAAACCAGTAAACCAAATTATCTGACATTTTTCTCGAAGATATAAGCCTAGAAGGGAATTTAATAATTCAACTGAAAGAAAAAAAAAATCAAGCATACAGTTCTTTTGAGAGTTGGTTCTTATTGCTAAATTAAACGTAAAACTTCATTAAAATCTTAATAAGCTTGAAATACTATCCCAGATGGGCATGTTATATTGAATACTACAATTAACATAATAAAATTTTCAAATAAAAGAAAAGTAAATAAAAAAAGTACAAAAAACACGTTTCCATGTTAAACAGAACCAAGAAAGTCGAGTGTGTATGAAAAGAGTTTATCAACAAAGGTAAAAACAAAACTGAAAGTGTTTAATAGATAACTCACAGAAGTCAAAACAAGAGCCCCATAAAGCTTTTCGCAGATAATGTAAATTTCAAACATAGGTACGATAATTTGCTTTGAAGGTGGGAAACGAAGAAGCGTTTGAACTTAAGTGTGGTTTGTTTGTGGAACTGTAAAACCCTAGAAGACTTCAGCAGGTATCGATTCCTGTGTTGTGTTCTTTACAGAATAAAGAGAGGGACAAGAAAGGTTGTCTTTGTACTTTAGTTAGACTGGATGCATCTAAAACGTATTATATTATTACTAGTGTACCTTTTGCTCGAAATCGAGCAATTGTCAAGTACCGGTATTATACAGAAGTTATTTTAAAACTACAGTAATAACAGTCATAATTTTCGATGCGTTTAAAAGACCCGACTAAAAGCTTATGTAACTACAGTAATTGAAATAGCGCTTTGAAATAATAAACGCTTTTTTTTGGTCACATTTTTTGGAACCGGCCTTATTTTTTTTGTGTTTTCTACAAATGCTTCCCGACTTAAAGCTGTTACCATTAAACATTTCTTGCATGTATTTACTTGATCTGACTTTAAGTAGGTTTACTTTACCACTGTGACAACATGATGTGTATATTCTTCATGTTTTTTTCCACTTCCAAAATAAGTTGCTTAGCATAACTGGCAAAAATGAATTATCTCCCCAAGTGATTGTGTAACTGGATTCCTCACTGTGAGACCAGGCCTCTCCTCTACTCTTCTCATACGTATAAGATTTCCCATTAATTGTCTCCTCGTGTTTTCAATATTTCTCCTTTAAAATCAAGAAATTTTCTGTTCTTCCTACAAAACTGATTGACTGTTTAGATTTGTCTATAACCTCTTAAATATTACAAACATCAATATTTACTCCCAAAAAGCTGGTGAGTTTCTTTTTATATACAGCTGTTATTGTTTATAAATTTTTTTCAATGTAATTCTTATGGGGGAAAATGCGACCTTTGAGAGCATTTCATGCCCTTAAGGGTAAAAGTTTTTAATTCTAAAACCTTTATGCAAAACCACGAATAGAGACGAATTATTTGACACCTCAAACGTTAAAATCCGTCCAGAAATAACAGAGGAGTTTTGTTCACAAAAATCTACTCTCACGTATTAATATTAGAGATAATATATTTATTTTACTACTTCTATGAAATCTTACTTCTGGACAACCCATACCATATACGACCACATGAGTTAGACTAAAATACATCCACAGCCTGTGTCTCCAAGACAAAATTATTTTCACAATATGTTTTCTGATAACACAGCTAGTCGTTAAGTGACAGCATGAGGATAACCACCAGGGCGTAATTGTTATGGTCATACTCCAGATAATTGGTCGGATCTCGTAAAATTGTTGGTGTCGGTTGACAATTAATCAAAGCATTTAAAACTTTTTTACTCATACACATTCACTTGAAAATTGTAAATCTAATTGAGATACAAACGTGGACAATCTCTTAAAAATCGACGAATTTAAAAAAAGGAAAATACTTAATATCATTAACAGAATTTTTTTCTTGAATCGATCATGTATCTGTTTTTGTTTTAATAGCCTAATTCATAAAGGATTTACTTTCGAAGTAAAACGTCGTAATAAAATAATCTGTACAAAAAATAATACGAATACCAATCTTCAGCAATGGACCCATATACACCTTTTTAGTACGAAAATACGGCATTTTTATGAATATTTAGGAATGCGGCATTTCCTAAATATAATAATAATTTATTAAAATTTCATTTACCACACGATTTGTCTTTTTAGATCGTTTTGAATGACAAAACACATTTTCTTACAATTTTGTTAAATATAACGCTGAAAACTATTTATTCTTTACAACTCCATTTGTATGGTAGTTTTAAACTGGCTCGCAACCCAAAACGAAGACGAATAAGTTGGGAAGACGTGGATTAGTTAACTCGTCTAATCCAAATTCCCAAAAGGCCCTCAAATTTAATAAATTATTTCGTTTTCATGTCCAACATGGGGAATAAATCCTCGAATAGTAATTTATAGAATTTTCAAAGAATAATATATTAGTTGGAATACCTAGTTTAATTTTTGGGAGGGAATGAAAGAACTCTATAAAAAAACCCTGCACTTAATAACTTTAAGAATATTTGTAATCTTACCAGTGACGGAGCATGCGCAGGAGGGCGCCGGTAGCGGGGCCAGGTTGACAACAGCCAGTCCTACATAGCCTGCCAGCAGACAAGCGACGTGGGCCACCAACACCCGGGAGTGCAGACTCTTGCGGAGCTCCGGCAGCCAGAGGTGCAGGACCAGGGTGATACCGAGGAACACGGCCCCCAGGACGAACAGGCCTCCGTACACCGCGGGCTTTAGGGTAGGCGGGAGACGACAAGCCAGCAGGGCGGAGCCCCGCGAGGTACGGTCCACACAGTAGTGGGCCCTGGGCACCCTGGCCTCCCCGAGCAACAGGGTGTCATCCTGGACGTTCCAGGAGGAGGTGTACTCCAGGTACAACTGGTTGGAACACTCGGGGAACCCGTGGATCAGGAATGGTCGACCTGGAACACACAAGTGTATTAGGTCGAAAATCAACCTAAACAATTTGGTTTGTGTAACTGTATTTATTTATGCGTACCTGAATGATACTAAAGAGTTGTTGGATTGCACAAATGCGGGAAAATATTAAATTTTCAATATGTAAGTGGAATTTGAGGGCTAACATTTAAGAAGTAGAAATATTATACTTGAATTAGGGACTAAATGAACACACGGAACCGGCTATTGCGAAATAGCTACGATATTTTGGGTACTTATGAAATTATGAAATGGTTACGCTCATTGAAGAGGAATAGTAAGGGTTCTCAGTAAAACCAGAAATGATTAAATTGCCATGAACGCCTGTCCAGACAGCCGTTATAAAATATACCTTGACTATTTCATCGTTCCTCGCAGAACCAGTTTGATGAGTGGAGAACTTCGAGTTTTCATAGTGAAACTGTATGGTTACTATTTTACATAAAATAAATTAATTAAAAACTCTCCTTCTCCTCAAATTTATTTGGTAAGACAGCATAAATATGAACAATTTATTGTGTCAAAGGCCCAAAGCAGCGTGGGGGTTTTAAACCATGCCAGCCACGGATATTAGAACATAAACGGTATGGTTAAAACAAACAAATGACATCACTGGCCCGAATCTCATACTAATAACACTGACTTATGGTTTAGAAGTTTTTTGACTGTTTCCAGTATTTTAGGCCAATGTGTATGGGCCAATGTAAGGAACCGCCAGCCTACTTAATGAAGATTCTTCGACCCGATTAAAGAAAATACGCAATATTCTCGGCTTAGTATTTCCTTATTAATACTTTTCCTCGTTGTAGGTGTGAAAATAATTTTGTGTAAAATCCTCTCTGTCAGGCATGACAATAAAACCCAAGAATGCAGAAGGATATGGGTTCAAAATTTAAATAGTTCATAAAAATATTATTGTTAACTTCCTTGAGAATGTTCTGGGTAGAGATTGTGTTTAACTGTTGAATGAATTTATACTATAATTATGTGTGTTAGTCTAATCACTGTAACACTACAGCTAAGTCACAAACCATAATGATGTCAATGACCTTTGCCAATTGTTGAAGATTTAAGCCGCAGATCGCCTGTAGAGCGTTAACCACCAACTTCAACATCAAGTCCCAGAGGGTGGTCCTATTCGTCATAATTGGGAACTCATAGTTAATTAATATACAACAAATATCTCACAAATTTAAAAAGATTTAGGTAACGGTTTTCATGCTGTAATATAACCAGGATATATCATATTCCTTGGTCCATACATAGTTTAAGTTTCGTTTCAATTCTCATAAATATTGACTTATTTTAATTTCCTTTCATTACAATTTTAGTGAATTTCCCTATAGGGAAGTAGCTATTGCCGTAGGTCTCATGGTAAGACATAGGCCCGGGACCGATTTACTTTCTCATTTTCATGTCCCCATAGGCCAAAACACCATTCGTTCAAGTATATATATATTGAATAAATATATCGTTCACTATTGAGGGCTACTATTATGATTAATAAATGAAATAAATAATTAAACATTTAGTACCCTTTAAGTTATTAATTTATTGAATAAACTTACATGTTTCGGCTCTTAGGCCATAATCACAGTTCTATATATATATGTGTGTGTCCATCCGCACGATAACTTAATTTTTGTCCGATTTCGATGAAATTTGGTTTGAAGGTGTAAGGCGGGATAAAATTGAATGAGTTCGCGAACCAGCATAATCTGACTATGGGAACGGGGGTTTATGGGGGTTTTTATGGGTAAAAATAGGTTTTTCCCATTTTGACCCTAAAAACACAAAATTTTACAATTTTTTTCCAAACCATTTTGTAGAGCTTAAAAAACAAATAATTTAGTATATTGGAGCGCTGTTGTATGCATAACGGTCACGGAGAAAATGCGAAAATAGTGTTATTCTTATGGAGAAAATGAAAACTGTTGTATAGTTTGCTTGTTTATGAACATATTTTAATCAAATTTGGAAAATGCATTCATTTCATACTAAACTATTACAGGTACTTTCCTGTTAAAGGGAACATTCATTATTATCGATGATTTTTTTCTCGATATATCGATATTAACAAATTGAAACTTATCAGCTGACAACTATGAAAAATATTGTTCAGTATCATCATTCATCAAACATTAATGAAATTAAACTGTTCTAAAGAAAATAACCTAACATAACTAACCAAACTTGCTGTACCATTTTAAAATTCCGTTTGGGTTTGAATATAAAAGGCTAGTTATAAACACGGAATTTTTAAATGTTGGTTATGTTAGGTTAGCTTAGACACAGTTTCATTTCTTAATCCATAATAGACTATTTTAGCCTAAACAAGATCAGTTAGTTGTTGTCAATTTGTAATGGATCGGAAAACAAAAACATCGATATATCGAGAAAAAATCATCGATAATAATGAATGTTCCCTTTAACAGGAAAGTACCCTATTACATTTTACAAAAAAATACCTTTTTACCCTCCCTGTTGCAGCAAACCTAAGTACTCGTTAAACTAATTCTGTTTAAGTAGGGAACAAATGTGATATTTTTAAGGATACATTTTAGTGTAAATCCAATCAGGCAAATGGAAATTCGCTTAGTCTGCAGGTTTGCTGTGGCGGGGGTATTTTAATCTTTAATCTTCCGGTTTCAGTCTATTGCAGAATAAAGTGTAGTTGTGTAAGTGTACGGACACATTCACGCGGCTAGTTGTCGCGTGATCAACGGTCTGGTTCTGTCGTGCTAAAATGCTTGGGTTGGGGGCGTATTTTAACCTGAAAATGAATGCAATATGAGTTTAGAATGAACTTGGTTGAAATGTTTCATTAGTCAAGGCTGTTTACACTCCCTGTTATTATATGATCCATGTTTACGCGCTTTAGTTCTCATGACTACAATAGAAACTGGAAATACTACTAGAGGTTTTATGAAACATGAAGTTGCGTTGAAAAATAAAATTTATTTTTCGATCATTAGTCAAAGGCTTTGAGTTATTTTTATTTGAATAAAAAGACAAAAAATCGTTATTAAGCTAGATATATTGTTACATAGTTGCTTATGATAGTGGAAAACATTAAAATATAATAACAATACATATTACCTGGCAGACGCATAGATGGGACAGAAGTCTTATGCTCGGGGAGCTATAGAAATGTTGAGATTGTTAGTTTCGACTCGTATTACAGTCCTAGTATGTTTTGGCGTAAAGATATTTCATGTCGTTTAAACTTAACCTTTTTTAATGTAAAATTTTCTATAGTATACATAAAAAAAATAAATACAGTAAATTTAGAATTTAACAATAATTTAGAAACTTTGAGATTAAAGCAACTAAACCCTTTAAAATTTCTAATCACAAAAAATAAAAATATATTTATGTTTTATTTTTATTTTGGTAAATTTTTAATTGCTTCATTCTATAATTCTCTTGCCGACCGCCATTTCTTTTTTGATCGCCTCATGCATATGCTTGTTGCTCTTAAAACTGCACAAACGAATCTGCATATACATGAAACACGCAATGAGAGATTTCCTATTCAACGCTATACTCTGTATGATAAAACCCGCCTCCTGACCCTCCGCCTACATGGTTTTAGACCCGGGTCAGTGTCAGGTCGACGGAGGACAGATTCCATCATAACGATTGGAGAAGTCCTTTTGTTGAATCCAAAGTCAATGGCGAAATTTTACTAATCTCTCACGTTATTTGACGTCAGTAGCGCAGTAATCAATCAAAAGCCCGCATTTGTCATTAACATAATTGCGTCAAATATTCTTTACAAGATACGACAATATTACGTAACTAACAAGGTTTACCACAGAACAACGTGTATAGTCATTAGTTATAACCGTCTAGATGGTTTATCATTTCAAAGGGAATCCTTTGATGATGCTTGTTTGTCAAGATTGGCGACACCCACTGTTTGTTTCTGTTTTATGAATATCCCAGCTTATTCTTCACTACTACATATTGGTAACTTCTAACGGAAATAGCTAATTTATCTAAGAGCAATATGCATACGAACAAATCCAACATATTATTTAGGTGTTTATTTTTATTTCGTAGTCGAAATTACACAATGCAATGATTGCACGCATGTAATGATTGGTCAATGTTATAGTTTAGTGACTGAATATACAATAGGTAAAATATGGAAAAGTACTGTACTGTACTTCCATTTTTAGTTTATACGTAGTCAAAGTTTACCACGAATGTAAATAAAATACCGAAAAAATACCCAATGCAATGCTCAAAACAGCGTAGTGATTGCATGTAATGATTGGTCAATGTAATAGTTTTGTGCCTTAATATACAGTAGGTAAAATATGGAAAAATAATTTCATTTTTAAATGTATACGTAGTCAAGGTTTACGATGAATTTAGACAAAACACCGACCGGTTTTTCAGTACATTAGTATTCGTCACTTTATCTAATAAATATAAATTTTTCGACTACTAAGAGTTTAATCTTGAGACGTATAACACCAACGTTTGGAAGGTGGAGCAAAAATCTACAACCTTTTTGCTATGACATCGGGTATCAAAAAGTTTCACTCTTCGTATTATATTTTTTTCTATTTATTAACCCGTTAAACAAATAAAACGCTAAGCAAATGGGGTTCCTAACTGCAAATCAATCATCTTACTGTGCCTGTAATCTCTGTGAGAATAGCTTATGTTTGGAATTAACATTGAACCTAGAAAAATAACATTATGGTTGACTCAGACACCAGGATTAGTTAATTTAATCAATTTTCCAATAAAAAAAACAAAGTATCTTTTCCAATCCCACAACAATATAATAGAACACTAAAGCTAGTTAAGTCAAATGCAACAACCACTGCAAAAGAAATTAGAGCTTATGAAAAGGTAAGAATCTTCTACATATTAATAGGCAAGCATGTTTCTTTAAAATCTTTTCTCTCAGTTCGTGTGCATCACAGTGAAAATCTTCACATACTGTTAGAAAGATATTTCCCTGTAG